ACTTTTTACTGCATATCGCTATAAGTGGTCAAAATTGGTCTTGAAGAAATGCCTCGTTTCTGTAGCATTACAGTATATTGTACGTCCCCAAGATCTAATACATGTTCATCCAGATGCCCCCTATATTGTACAAGGCATCTAAAAATATCTTCTTCCCGAGGTATTTTATCAAGCCTAGAACTTGGTATCGGACTGTTCTTTGACCTTTTACTTCTCCAGGACTGATAAGATGATTTCCCGGTGGTTGGATTGGCTGGCCAGACCGAGGCGGTGAACTGTCGTTCTCCACATTGCATCATCGCTATCTATACTTTACATCGTACACTTCACTCTTCACTTCACTCTATGAACATCCATTTCTTGATATACGTCTATACCCTAGGGAAGCTCACTCTTTCATTGTATTTTTCTTTTGATATTGACATTCCTCCAACTCCCTGAGATACGCGATTTATCCATAAGATCCACTCTAACCGAAACAGCAAGAATACCCGCCACATATTGATCACCAGGGCTAAAAGAATTTGCGGGGTAACATGACCTGTGACTGAGATTTCAAGGTCCATCCCACCATTTGCGCCACGTTCCTGGGCTGAAATGTCTATAATTCAAGTCATAATGGCTTGTCTCGTTCAGGGACGAATTGCATCCGTCTTCCCAGGCCAGCTGTACAAATTCCGAGGCTGTCAGCATACGAATTACTAGATTTGCGACATACGGGATCTCGGATCGGTCTTGGTTAACATTCAAGACTGGCTCCAGCAAATACATCATAATCTACATCTATTCCCACCTGGTCCTATTGGTGGAACTCTTTCAGGGCTAAGCGGGTATAGATGCACTTCCAACCATATATGTATTAGTTTGGGGTTAAGTATCACCCACATGGCGAGCAACTACTACCTAATGAGCCTTAGCTTTGTTACCTTATTAGGTACCCAAGTGTCGGAGTCGATGCCTACAGAAATGGGGGGCTGCCCACGTGCTTCTGAGCCCCCGAGGGATCCGAAGAGCTTCCACTTCACCAGGTCTACAACATATACTTGAATTCATACAGGGTCTAGTATAATATTCTGATTGAATTAAGCTTGGTCAATGAATACACACTTTAAGATAGTGATCAGAACGCCTATTCTGGCGGACGCAGTCCACAAAACAAAAGGAAAGCACGGATATATCTGCTGTAGGAACGCTCATCGACTTTGGAAAACAGACATGTCCAGCGGGATCATCCTAAACCAAACCGAGACATACAAGTACAGGACAATAAAAACACAAAACTATTTCATAGCGCATCCCAATAATGCATGCTGCCAAAATGGCATTTTATCTTTGCACCATCTGCATCGAGCATCTCGTGTTGCACAACCCTCCAATAACCAGTATTAATCCCAAAATGGGTCCAGCTGGTATAGAACAAGGCAGGACCAACTCATGAATGCCATTCCATCAGACAATCATCTGTGCAACTCCCTGGCCACCTAGGGTCTTGCTACCAACAAATTCTTGTTTCATCAGGGCTGCGAGTGAATAGAACACAGCCGCAATGAGAAGGAAGACGGCACCAGCAATCAAGCTAGAAGCCCGCTCGGCAAGACTGATAAGTTGGACACCACCAAGGACGGCGTAGATGAGGGCGCGCATCCAGTTGGTTGTAAAGCGGCGGATAAAGGAATCGAATTTAGAGGATGTAGGACAAATTCGGAGGAGGAAGGGCACTTCTATGAAGAGAATGACAAATGCCGATGCACTGAAACGGGTTAGGCTTCGCAATGAATCAGCGGGAAATAAATGCGACTACTCACATGCTGATGATACTGATGATAATCAGAACCACGTTGAACGAAAAGATATTCGCAATTCCTAGCGCAAGGCAAAGGATAATACACAGCACACCCGTCCTAAATGTTTCGTTAGACCGATCCATAAATATGCGGAACTGATTTCGGGAGAGCCATCGAGAGGCCACCACACGAGGTAGCAGATGCCATTCGATCTTTCAATCAAAGTTCTCAGTGCTCTCCCGCGACAGCATTTAGGCCTGCAAAAGCAAAGAGTGTTGGGAGGCAAAGCGGTAGACTAACCATTGTCCATAGATGCCTAGAAAAGGACAGCAAGGTTAGCAGATTGAGATATTGGCGTTGCAGAATCCAGGTACATACTGAAATTTCGCGATCGGAGTTCCTCGGCCAGCGACATGGTGGGCTAGCAAAAATAATCTGGGGGAAATAAGAGCCGAAGATCAAAGATGGAGGATGCGCGGATGATCAGAGGTGTCAAGAGGGTCCGGCAAAGTGTACACGCGGATTATCCAGGGCGGTCAAAGGATTGAAAACAAACAAAACGGGCAGCAACGATCAATATTGAACTAATTCAAGGTTGAACAGCGAGGTAAATGAAAGATCTGGGGATATGACGATGCACTTCTGCAGTGTTCCAAATGTTCCGACGTTCTGAACCCTGTTGCTTTTGATAAGATCAGCTTGAGGTCGTCTTCTAAGCCAAGTCGGATTTCACCCCTATCACTAGGCAGACGCCAATCTCGATATTATTGACCTTGCAAAGAGACCAAGGCCCTAATATAGTCAAGCCGATATTTCCACTTGTTTCAATACATAACAGATTGACAGTCTATTTATGGAATTTATGAAAGAACCTGGTAAAAGAATCATCTAAGCTTTGATCCCCATATAAGCAATGAACTTACCACGCAACATCTTGACTTGGGTTTCTGGTTGTAAAATTTTGCATGTCTGCTTCTTGTTGTGTGTATATATTAAAAAGCAAGATTGGCTCTCTCTATATATATACTACTGGCCTGGAGGAAAGGCTGCTCTACTAGTAATAGGTAGATGGCAAATAGATAAAATCTCAGTGACAGAAATGGTCTGACAAGCCTGTCGATGATTACGAGTCATCTAAATCATGATAGACCCCCTTACCAGGTATCGATATTCGGAGGAAGTTGCGGAGCAAAGTGGGAGACGCGGTTAACAGTATCTCGAGTCTGCTGGGAGGCTTAACCGAAGGTGAGAGCGGTAAACTAGACACTGTCTCGCGGGCTAAGACGGTCATAGCTGTGCTAGACTTCGCTGAGGCGTCGTAACGGTTTTGGAGTCGTGCGCCACGAGGGCAGCCTAACAGTGGGAACGGCAATTAGGCCACGGCAAACCTTGACGAGTCTCTAAGTTCGTTTTTAGGAAGTGGAACACTCTACATGTACGTTCGCGCGGATATATATAGGTTGAGGTAGCCTGCATATCGCTTTCCAGCGAGGGGTCAGCATAAATGACATCAACCAACCAACCAACCGACCACTGTATCACTGTGCTCCCGGCAGGATCATCTCAGCAGTCGATATATCCTCATGCTAGTAACGCCATGACCACCGGGCCCGGATGCACTGAATCAATGATGGTTGATGGCCTGCTAGATGTCGCCGTGGAGGAATATACCGAATAGCAGCAATCGCGGGTGAGCAACGAGACTTTCAGTGAGGACATCAATAAAGCACGCGATGTGACTCTCGAAAACTGTCTCGACCTCATGCAGATCTATAAGAATCAAGATCTAGGTTGAATTGTCAAGCACGGTGTGAAATTAGGTGCTACCAGGCGGTTTGTTCGTGATAGACTCTGGACCTGAATACGGGCCAGTTTAATTTTTCTCAATCGCTGTATATCCATGTTGTTCTGTGCAGACAGTTGGATCATCGTCAAAGACTTCTCGAAGGTCCGCCCGAATCCCGTCAATACGCCAGAGCATCATGAAGACGCGGTCAACTGTGAGAAATTCTCGGGCACTTGCTGGCCCGGGAGAGAAAAATTGTTGATATCCAGCTAGATACTGTGTACATATTTAACTAACTAACGTATTCCACATGCGAGTGACGCACACAAGCGAGTGACGCAGTCCGAAACACATAGTCAATCCGATAAACCACAACCTAATATCTCAATAACAACGTCCTTGATTGATTCTATATTTGCTCGATAGTAGTTGATAAGGATTCTAAATGATGCATATCAATTATAAGGCAATCAAAAAGCTGCAATATCATGGTATCGAAAATTACATCTCCCTAAGCCAAATATATATATATTTTCATCACCAAGTTATGAAAATTCCCCAAACTCCATAAGAAAGTTAGATATCACCGAAAACAATTAGCCCATAAGAAAACACCCCCTAGCACCACAGTTGTTGAGATATAATGTTGTAATTTATCGCTTTCACTATGTGTATCGGACTGCGTCACTCGCTTGTGTGCGTCACTCGCATGTGGAATACGTTAAGTGGACTGTTTATGCCTAAGGCAAAATGTTCACTGATTTGTTTAGGTAGATATCTGTCTCCTTTCAAGTTTAAAAATTCCCCTGAATCCCGTACGATGGGATTCGCGGTTTAGCGCAAGGTTACGTACACCAAGCACAAACATGTCATCTTTGCTTCTTTTGACGGGAGAATATCCCTCGACAGTTTCAATTGGACTATTCTCGTACCTCCTCACATATTTCTCTCTTCTTACCCAGCCAACAGGCCTCTGTCCTGAAAATAGTACACCCCAATAACAATTGCACATAAGTACAGCACATAAATCGAGTCTCTAGGACTTCATTGGCTACTGTCGTGTTTTGCATTCGCTGACAACCCTGACTAGGCCTAATTCAAGGTTGGAGCTGTCTCGGCCTCAAGTTGAGAATATGGTAGGAGTCTTGCCTTAGCGTGTAACTAACAAAGATAAGCGAAAGTTCACAGAGCCTTTTGTTTGGTTCGCGCTATTAGATCTTTACTTCCTTCCTGTCTACTCAACAAAGCCTCCTAGGAATGCTCAGAGCTGCTGAAAAAGATATCCAGGATGTCCTTAGATACAGGTTGATCTAATTTGCTGTGTCGATCGGTGTCTATCGGCCAACGTTGCTCCCTCTATCGCCATAACTATCTGGTACTATTAGGTACATTTCACGCACTCTGCAAGGTGCCATACGGCGTTGACTATTTCAACTGCCACTTTCTTTGATACAAAGACAGACCGGTTCCCCGTTGGAATAGTCCCGTTCCTCGCACACCATCGTGTCCCCAAGTGCACAGTAATAGGATCTTGTGCAATCCTGGACACTCTGGCACATTGTCCCATAAGGCGGGACTTTCTGGTCGGTCATGCAAGTGCACTTTCCGCCGCCGCCTTGATTGGCGCATTGAAGGATCTTGCCTTTGGGGCAGTCACCCTCGCACTGGCCGTCAAAATCACAGTCGCCTCCGATCGGGACAGAGGTGGGTATAGTAGGTGGAGGAGAGGAACTGGAAGTGCTAGCCCAAATTGATTCAAACATATCTTCCATCGACTTTTGGATACTAGTCGCTTCCGCATCATTCATGACAGAATAATCGGGGTAGGGATCCAAAGTGACAATCACGTATGCAGATTCGCTTGAGATGGTTGTGGTGGCTGTAGATGCCTCAACATTACAGGCGGTGATAGTTTTGCAACTGGTGGAGGTTTTAGTGGTGTAGGTTGAGGCAGAAGTCACCATAGAGGAGTAGACGGTTTCAGTGCAAACATCAGCCTCGGCAGATTCGCAGTCATTTTCTTCGGACGTGCAACCTTTACCTATGCATTGACCATTTTTACAGTTCGGGCCTGAGCAAGTGATCTTGTTGCAGTTATAACCGGTACACTTTCCTGTGCTTTGAGTGCAGTGAAGGCCAATGCAGCCTAGGGAGATACAGCTTAGACCCAGACAGGAACCAGATCCATTGCAGTCGCTGCCATAACATCCGACTGTCTGGCAGCTAGTACCGTCCGTACAAACGCCATTAGACTTGCAGCCACTGCCAAGACAACCGGTCCGCTCACAGTCGGAGCCAAGGCAGACATGGCTTTCGGTGTCACAGTCGGTGCCGGTGCAGCCCTTCTTCACACAGTATGGGCCAGTGCAATCACCATCATCATCACAGTCAGGGCCGGAACACTTGGAATGGCTAGTAGGGGGATCAGGATCCGCTGGGTCCTCCCAGCTTTCATTAGCCTTAGGGTCGTCACAGTTAAGCAAGCATGGTTTATCACAGAAGGAGGTACACTTGGTTCCACAGCCAGACGTGCAGGTAGGACCTGGGGTACTACCGTGAGTAAATTTGATAGTGGGGGTCGGAACCTCCACAGACAAAGAAGATTTGGACCAAGGCCAGGGGGAGGGTACAAAGTACGATAGGCTGTCACGGTATTTGTGGTATCCTGGGGGTTTGGACTGTCTCTGAACACGATTGGGTCTAGTGCAAAACTAGGGAACAGTGTTGTGGAAGAATGTGTGACGTCGGCTGCGGAGATATTCCAATTCCACCACGGAATTCGGTTCGTCCTGATCTCAGGTATAGTAAAGGTCGTGGTCTGCACAGTGCGAGTCACTGTGGTAGTGACGGTAGGTTGCCCAGAAGTAGTCACAGTCTTGGTTGTAGTCCAGGCCACCTCGATTGGAGTCACCAAAGGTCCGATAGAGAATACAGTTTCGAAATCCAAGGTGGAGGGGGCGACAATGATATTCAGTGGAGCAATACCAGTAGCAATGTTAGAACCTGACTTTGAATCGGCAACAGACGCGGCAACATAAAGATCTCCCGTGCCGTTACTACCACCATCAGAACCAGAGCCCGACCCCGGTCCAGTGGAGCTTCCAGAATGCGATACACAGGCGCCTTCGGGACAGTACCCGCGCTGACAGGCGTATCCACACAGGGGGCCATAGACGGCTGGGTCTTGCCCCGGGTCAGCCTCACCTGTAACGTCGGTCGTGGGATTCATGACATTCACTGCTCCTTGCCCTGTACACGTGCAAGCATTCATCGGGCAGAAGCCATGAGTACAGCTGAAATCACAGAGGCCAGCCAGATTGCCTGCGCCAGTTCCTGCTGTGCATGCCGGAGGTAAGAATGGTGAGACAGAGGGCGTTGAGAGTGGGACCTCCACGGTACCACATGCCGAAGGGGGACAGAACCCGAGATTGCAATCAAAGTTGCAAAGTCCACTATAGCTTGCATCTTCCCCTGGGATCGGATATCCTACCACGCCGGTCGAATTCGGCTTTTTAAAGCCGAGTCCCATTTTTGTGCAGGTGCAAGCTCCTAGGGGACAGTAGCCATATTTGCAAGCGAACCCACAGAGACCCGCAAAGTTGTAAGTGCCAGTCCCGTTCGAACACTTTTGCTCGGAAAGCGGGATACTTGTTCTGGCCGACACTGCGCTCCCTGTCTTCGCACTGCCTACCCAGGCATTCCAGTTCTGGATACCATTCGTGCAGCTTCCAGAGATGGCTTTGCCCTCAATCGTGGCGATCACGACGTTTTCGCGCATCAAAGACACCGTGACTGGTCCAGTCCGACCACCAAAGGCGACACTGCCATGGTAGACACCGACATCATCATCTGGGACAAATGACCAGCCTACTGTTTGGGCATCCCCTCCAATTGAGACCACGGCGCCAGAGAAAGAGCCCAGAACAGCGGAGAAGAAGATTCGATCTTGAGCCATCTCTGCCGGAGAGAATTCAATCTGCAACTGCGAGGCAGTGTTGCCACTAGTGCCTCCACTGCCGCAAGCTGCTGCAGGAGCCAGTCGATACCAGGCAATGATACTCTCCTGGGTCACCTCTGCCGATCCCTGTTTATACATATCGATCCAGTATGGTAGGGTAGCTCGCCAACCATCGTGAGGCATATCCGTTACGTAGTTGAATGGGGCCTGGCCAATCTCAAATGCTTCCATGGCTTTGCCATACAAGGGTCCGATGTAGTGTGACTCGCCATAATCGTTCCATGAGATGATTTCAACAAACTCGGGCTGCACATAAAGTACCTCCTGCCAGCGGTCATGCCAAAGGTGATCGCCTCGCCATATCCAGTTTTTCTTGTAGCCCGGCAAGTTGGTAAAGAACCAAGGTGAGACCGGCATCATATACGGTATCCCAGCCAGGTACTGGATATAGGATGCATCGATATAGGTATTCATATCTTGATCACCCCAAGGCCAGCCAGCCCAGCTAAAGAGACCATCCACGACACCTGTCTCCACAGCGGGCTTAGCTCCAAGGGAGGACCAACTCGGAATGAAAAAGCAGTTGGTAGCCATTTTGATCACGCGCCAGTCCTTAGCTCGATCTGGACCCTCAAATGTGGAAACAAAGGCTTGTCCTTTGTAGAAGAAGTACGATGAATGAGCGCTGTACTGGGTGATCAATTTGACGACATCTTTCATCGGCCAATCTCCATTACCAGCATAATCAAACGAGAAGAAAAGTTTGAAGCCGACAGAATCTGCCGCCGCAAAGGCAGCAGGGAGAGCTTTCGTGTTTGTCGGGTCATTGTAAGCCATATTCAAAGCAAAGGCATCAATGTGCGCATCTTGCGCTAATTTCATGTCATTTTCCCAGTCACTGGAGGTATAGTTGGCCGAATTTGTCACCTAAATGTGCTGTCAGCGATTTCAAGTCATCTTCGCCGACGAGCCAGAAATTACCATGAAATGGGCAAAGACAGCCGCTGCCTGCACTCGGCAGGCGAGCAGGAGAGCTGTGACCCAAGCCAGGAATAATCGCATGGCTTGTGTTGACACGTTGAACACTGGGCTCTAAGAGTTTTGCTCCGAGTGCCTCTGCCGTTTGTTGTTCGCTTGAAAATAGAGACCTAGAGCTCCTTTTCAACCCTGCTTAGCGTGTGCCTCGGCTCGGCAAGGGTTTTATTCTTTTCGCAATTCAATTGTACCATGAAAGGTGGATTTCATTCTCGAATTTAGAGGCGAATATCGGTGATGACCGTTCGCCTCCTACTCTATTAGGTATTGCGTTGACCCACTCTACTAGCGGTATTTATTAGATAGGTGAATATGCACTAAGTTGAAAGCTTCTGTTTACAATTCTTAGTTCAGTAGACAGTTCAAAACAATCTATCGCCGCAACTCCGGATACGACACTGCGTACTCAAACATAAAACGTGCTCTGCGCTAGCTACCCAAAAAAAAAATTTAATGTCAATCTGTCGGAGCAAGCCGAGACACTATAGGCTAGTAATGGATGCAACGCTTGATTGATTGAAGAAAGAAAGAATCTGGATGGGGCAGGTTGGAATACCCCGTAAATGGCTAAGATACATGGTGTGACGACAACCGTAATGCCAAGGATACTAAATTACTATATAAAACACAAATTGGGCTACTCAATATAACCCTTATCTAGTGGTAAATATATAACCCTTATCTAGTGGTAAATTAGCACTCCATATCTCGACACAATCACCACGAGAAAATCAGCGAAAGAGCGCTAGCTATTGTCGATATGGGATTATAGTCCACTGACACTGTCGCTCCTGCCGCTTCGCATCATCGGTGTGCCTCGGTACCGAAGCTCTTTCCTTTTCTCGGAAACCTCTTATTCAATACCATAAATAATGACTATTCCATACACGAACAACTCGACATCTTGCAGACACCCAGGCAAAGTTTCTAGCAGTGACCTTAAGCTCCCTGATAAAAGATATACTTCCAAAATATTCCCTCCAATCAATAGATCTCAGTGGTAACGTTTGTGCTTATGACGGAAGATTTCGCGCCTAGCATGTGCCTTCGAGAACAGAAATTTCGTTAGCCATAAGTCCAGAGCAATATGCTTGAAAAAGGCGAGAACAAACCAAAGAAGCAATTTCCGAAGCTGCCGGAGTACTGATCACAGCGGAGTGCAACGAGGGGCTAGGGGAAGGAGCTAGTCGGGATTCGTTGACAGCGCTAGGCTTGCACCCGCCAAAGATGAACCCTGCGTTATCCGAGACGCTCAACGCCGTCGTGCGATGAAGGTCACATTGATTTGACTGGTCAACATAGACCCATGCTTGGCATGCTGGTACCTTCTCACACCAGTTCTGGCAATCCAAGACTGTTGCAAGCTCATAGCTAAAGGTCATGGGAGCGCTGTAGAAATAAGCGATTGTCTCATTGTGAACAGAGCCTTGACATTCAGGCAAGGCCTCACTGCCTTGGAGAGCCAGGGCAATCACAAGCAGAATTGAACGGATAGAAGCCATGGGGGTAAGATGGTGGAACAGTGTGGAGGGAAGATTGCAAGAACATAAAACATTTTGGGAACTCGAGGACCATTTCTACATCATATTGGCTCGATGGTGGGCGCATAGTTTAGCGGAGATTAATGGGGCAAAGAATCAAATGTACTATTAAAAATTTTTCGTTTCTCCCATGTCCCCATGTCTCTGTAATTCGCTTCGAAGACCGGGGCTAGCCACGACTTTGGGACTGGCTACTGAAGGAGGCTGCAGTATCTACAGCTGAAGCCCCGGGGCACAACTTCCCAGTAAGCCCGTGGGAAGTGGGTCGTGCATAATTACACTAATTCAGAACCTAGCCGTATACCGTTAGGAGAGACTGGAAAATTCCCTTCTCTAGACTTTCAGGTGTTTTGAGCTGGTATATCGGACTAATGATAGACACGCAGATGTGCCTAATACTGCAAGGATCTCAGGAGCCAAAGGATCCGAGGCGGCGTTTATACAAAGGTAGGACCGGATGACCAGCTCGGACCTGAGTAATGCCGAAGTAGGTCTCCACTGACTCACAGGTATCACTGGTCTTGAAATGATTAGCCCGATAGGTGTGGTCTTTGGTCACATTAGGATCAGTTTTTCCAGTTGCAGCATCTCCATTCGTCCAGCTCTTCTGGATCCCGGACCCAGAAGCAGCCCCCTAAAGAAGCGAGGCAACGAAGATGTCGAACAAAGGGGACTTATGTGACTTGATACCAAATGCTTGCTTTGCCCAGCAAATGGTAAAATGAGTGTGTCTTGTCTAAGGTAGCAAACTGCTTCACTATATAACCCCTGAATGCTTCTAAAGTGGTTCCACAAGTGGTTCCATAAATGAATCCTGTACACACCAAGGAGCTAATGGAATGACTGTACGGGATGGATAGAATATTTCTGGCTGATAGAAGCAGTGAGGATGCAGGAATGGAGAGAGAAGAGAGTTGAATTCTGGAAAGAAGGAGACTGTCTGCTATCTAAATAACGTATTTCACATGCGAGCTGCGCAGTCCAAAACACCATAAGTTGATATTATAATCTCTAGGACTATTTAGACTTTTTCATCTAATGTCTATGGTTTATCAATTTTTGAATCTTGTAGAGAGACTTTCTCGAATTTTGATTTTCTTTATTTGTTATTCACTACTTAATTTCTCACTGAAATTTCTTGCTTAAATTGGTATAAAAATTGGATCTTAGAGCTATATTATTGAAAGCTATGTATTAGAGGTAGAGGGGAATACAAAGCCAGCGGTGAGTGGTTAAAATCCGGCGGTAGGCTAGGCGGTCAAAATTCACTATGGGCAAAAAGTCTACTAGCGCACTGGCGGCTACAGACTGCCGTAGACGTTATCTGCAGTCAAACCTAGTACTAACTGAATAGTTTCAAAATTCATACAGAGCGTGGGGAGAGAGAGGTCTAAAGATCTAGGAATAAAACAAATCCATTTTTCTTGTCATTTCCATTCCCCCTATTTGGGTGGACATCCGAGAGCACCCGAGATGTTGAGGCTACCCAAGTTTATTTCCAAATCATATTTAATTAGGCCAAATGTTACCAAATAGTCTCGTACCTGAATCTCAAATCTGGAAATTACTCGGTCTCTTCCATCCAAGCCATCTCCACTTAGTGAGATTCAAACACTGGTATAAGCTAGTTTCAAAAAACTTCTAAGCGAACCTACTAAAGTCAGCCATTTAATAATACCAAATGCAGCTCTGCGGTTGAGATATTATTGCCGCCAGAACCGTCCCTTCTAACACTCTCTATGCACACTTTCTAGGGTTCGCACTTCATTAGTGATGCTTAAATTAACAGAAAACGGTGATATATCATAATGATTCAAGGATTAATCCGAGTTCTGGGGGCAATGTAGTTAAACGTTTCTTGTTTCAAATAGTATACTAGGCCTAATACAACTTTCGAAATTGAAGGAAGTCACTTCACATTTCTGCGAAGTGGAGTTCGGGATATATTGTTCGGATTCCTTCCTTAGCGATGGGTTTGGAGTATTTTCGTTAGAGATGTATCCGACTTCGGAATAGAGTACATCACCCAAAAAGATCCCTCGTATGTAGGAAATCTTCACTACCGTCGAACCGGATCTCTATGAAGTTACTCCCGCTGATTTTAGAAATCAAAAGCGGGTCTAATGACTAGCCATCTGCGCTAATACACTCGACCGCATGCTTAGCTCTAGCAAGGTTAGTGCAAAGTGATTTAGCACCGAATACGTTTTTTTCAATCGCCCCTGACTAGGTTAGAAGCCGTATTCATCGAAGTTTTATACTAGCCCTACGGGTATATTACAGCGGAGATTTTTCAGCCAGTCGTACTAATGCACAAGGAACCTTGTATCTTCGGCTTAGATTGGCTGTCGTTCCCTAGACTTCTACTTCACTGGAACTAGCTTAAGGTCCCACCGACAGTAAATCATCTAAATAGGACTAGCGCGTTTATTGAACCCACACATGCTCTCCGAAGCGATACGTCTCCATTTTTCTGACCTACTTATCCGGCTGGCCCGCTCACGCGAGCGTGTGATTCGCCCACACCTGTATGACCGCTCCAGCAGCTATGCATCTTAACTATCCACTCGATTAAGGCTTTCTCCTGATATGCGCGAAGGAAGTGTATACCGCTTCGAACCTTTAGTATAGTGGTATTTACTAGAGCATTTCATGGACCATTTCGTTGAAAATGGTCTAGAGAATTTGCATGCCTTGCCCGTGTAATTTAATTGATCATGGGAGCACTAAGTCTATGCCAAATAATACTCGAATAGTCGCCTACTCCTAGTGCATTCATTATAAGACGCCGTATTTCAAATTTATTTTGATAGATAAGACCCCCTTCTCAGGTTTTTACAGTTCAATTTGTTCCACTCATTCGATCTTTTCCTTTCCTGTGTCAGACGCCTTTCACCGTCAAAATGATTTTCGGTCGATCTGGCACAACCATGCTGGTCACCTTGGGGCAAATTTTGCTGTTGGCGGATGTGCTGCAGTGTGCCCAAGGACTTCTTATAGTGCCAGACCGTATCTTCGAAAACAACAGGAGCTCTGTTGCAGAAAAAAGAGACGGTAGTCAAGCCGGCGATAGCGACTGGGTAAAAATCACTGGCTGGGAGACATTCCTACTGCATACAGCTACATGTGCAGGCTTAAACGACGAATCTGACGCCATGTCTATCACTAAAAGAGACTCCGATACCGTCACTGACACCACCAAGGCGATGTTTGCTGATGTTTTGGATGATGTCTTGGAAATTGTAAGTTTTCTTGATAAGAGGGCAAACATGAAAACAGGAATTTGGTGGTAATGACACTATAAACAGAACAGAGGGGCGCTCGATGCTATCCCAACACTTGAATCAGCTTGGGACAAGATGAGCAACAGGGAAGAGCTTTCGGCGGAGGAGAAAACACAGATCAATTTTTACATGGCGATGTATGGTACCTTTAAGGAAACCGACAGCACTGGAATGGACAGAGCCAATAGGCGAATTGCGCAATTGAAGTGTAAGTGGTTCTGTGGCTACACTGATAGGAAATAAGAAGCTAAAAATCAACATACTTGAACAGACTTTGCAAACCAATTCGTTGAAGGCCTGGACAAGGATAGTTTCAAGATCCGTATCATCTGCGATGAATCTGCCTGGGAGCTCATCGATTACCACGGCGAAGGCAAGTTTGTTCTCCCTGGAATTATTACAATGAAGAACATCAAATTCTGACTTTTGGGAATCTCCAGAGCTCTGGGGGTTTGACGACGGGGCAAAAGGTTATGGTACTCAAAGAGAGAGTACTTTGCAGAACAGCGTGTGTCAGAACGATAAAGGAAAGCAAGCAACTCTTGCCTTCATGATGGAGGGAGATGAGGGAGATGATGGTCACGACTATATGACCATTTGCCCACTCGGTTGGGAAAGATTCGCTGAAGCTGTACCTATTCCTGTGTCGAAAGTAAAATCACTCGAAAGTTTGGAGTATCAACACATCGATGACGTGGCGAAAAGCCCAGCGGATGGCGTTTTCACGCACGAGTTGACCCATTCAAAATATTTCTGGGGAGCTCTGAAGACAGGTAAGCGTGGAGATGGATATTGGAGTGGGACAAGTTGAGGAACTTTACTAAAATGATTACCACATAGGCGATATTGCGTTAAATGATGGGAAAAAGGCTTATGGCTTTGAAAATGTCGTTACTCTTGCCAAGGAAGGTAACAATGAGGACGATGTCTCTCAGCTCAGGGCTTTGAAAAATGCTGGTAAGATTCTCCACAGGAAGGACTCATAGAATGGAACTAACATCTCTACTCAGACACCTATAAGTATTGGGCCACGGGTGAGTGACATCTGGATTGCCAAGCTCTCGTGAAAGGGCTGTTAAGCTGACTAATAAAATCCCCTTTAGGTGCATTTCTGAGCCAATGCGACTGGTCGACAGGAAGTTGCATAGATCCAGCAGATTTGATGTATTGATCCGACGCGGTGGGCTTGTGATAGTTCTCTCCACGGACGTTCTCTGTGTGTTTGCTTTGATGGGAAATATATAATCAGGGCTCTTAGATCGTACGGTGGTTATATCTTGGATAAGTTTCTCTGCTATCCCGTCAGGACGAATTGGAAATACCATGATATTTATCAATATGGATTTGTTTACTATGAGGGATTTCTTAAGCTAGTATCATGTATCGAGATATCTCGAAAACCAGCCAGTCATACATTCTATCAATGAACTATTACTCCGAAGTAGCATCTTCTCATCTAAGCTGAGTTGGTTGCACCCGACGATAATTTCTACCTGAGGAAAATCGTTGATATGGAAAATACGGCTCAAGATGGTTGCGCGTGGCTTTTATCCCCTTCCGGACTGGAAGGCCAATCAAGTTATTTGGGCTTCCACGCAGGGAGAGGACACACAAACATATCGAAAGTGTGTTGTTCCTATTCGCTGTCTCTGGACTGGGCTGACGAGACCACCTTAAAGGGGCTTTCCCTAGTGATGTTGAGTAAAACCCGGCGCTATTCATTCTGATACGCAATTCTACGCAATTTCGTGGCTTCTTTATCCAACTGGGAGCTTGTCATTGAGCCACCCCCTTTCACTGACGTGATATTGATCTTTCAAGGTTTTCCAATTGTGAGTGATGCTCAGTCCCAGCCCTAGCTTTAAGCTTGATGTAATGATCGAGGTGTTTTGTGAGAGTAGCTCACGTACGTCAGGATCACCCTGGTAACCGGCAGATTACTCGGGTCCTAGTGTTCTCTGGTCCCAACCCGCGGGGTAGAGGGCGTCTCTCGTGTATTTGAGGGCCGGAAGCAGGTGCATCGTTTGATCGAGGTTTCCTCCCATGAAGCAAGTCTGACAATGGGTATTAGGAAAAAGTTCAGTGGCTTTGGGGGCTTAGTGGGCTGCAAACCTGGATATCTTCGTGCTGATAAATCCTCACTTTCTGACAAGACTGGCTTGAGCTGCCGGATCCAATCATTGAAACAAATGTCGGTTACATCTGCATTATAAGTAGCAGAGTATATCGGTTCGCTTGATTCACCAGGCCCTTGAATCATCACCTTACGTCTCCGATAGCCAATGTGTCCCATATAAAACAGGTTTAGTGACAACTCTGCTCCAAGGAATTCCCAAACGTGCCTCCAACAAGTAGACTCGTAGTCAGTGGAGGGGGAATGTTGGGTTTCAAGGTTACCAACTCGAGTGAGAGAGAATCCATAGTCCCCTTTGTGGTATTAAGAAATGACTTGAAAGATTCAAATTGAATTTCTATCCAGTGGAGATGAAGCTCTTTCAGTCGGGTGAACCTGATGCTCTGAGAGAGCTCCGAAAAGTAGCATTCTCCCATATCGCGTGGACCTCGATACCATTGTGAGAAATCAAGCGTTTTCAGTCTGGGTGCAACGGAAATCAAAAGATCAATGTAGGTGTTTGAAGTTGGAGTGCAATCTAGGTCGTCCTCGTCGTAACAGATGCACATATGAAGATGTTCCAGGTCTCCAAGCTTGAGAAGAAGAGAATCGTATTGTTCTTGCGTGAGAGGAAGAGTAGGAGAAGTTGAGCCGCAGAAGTTGGCACCGCATGTGTTCAAGGCTCTGATCTTTTGGTTGGATTCATTGAGGCCTTGTAAAACCCTCGATAAGGCCAGAGAGTTGACCTTGGCTACCTCGCGCCATTGGAGAAAACCGAAGCCTGAATGGTGATACACATATTCGACTTGATCTCTCAACTTCTGCAATCCTAGATATCGAAATTCCGTTTGCCGTAGATCAAGTAAAAAGTTTGTCGGATAATGCTTCAATCCGACGGACTCGAGGTTTCTGAATGAAGCGAAGCATGTGTGAAGCCTAGAGCCAAAGGTGTTTGACTCAAGAAGAGCCAGGTTATCGGCCTCTACCGCTTGATATATTGCATAACGAGCAAGTAGCACATCGTCATTCTCCCTGAGGCGACTCAATGGCCCTGAATAGTGAGAACTTCTAAATTCGTCAAGGCTCCGTCCGTGGCGACCTTCGAAGACGGTCGGAATCATCCATAACTGTCGGACTCGTACTCGGACGGTTTCACTTTTTGCCAACTCTTCTAGTTGTCGAATGCCTTCACTGGTGGCAATGAAGCAAATGCTTTTAAAATAGCGATCTGCGAATGCATCCAAAGATTTTGCGTAAAGGGAGCGACAAGATAATCTGAGTGCGGCCCACTCCGGTTGCTCCAGATAGTTGCAGGTTTTATTCACAAGTTCGATTGGCAGACTTGTGAGGGACATTTTGGTAAGACTTTTCGAACGTCTGCCGTGGTGATTCGCGGTTTAAATAATTACCTTCGGGGCTGGAGCCTAAGGCGGTTTTCCCCCACCGAACATGTCTGGTTAATTGATGGCCTCCGGTGAGGCATGAAAATTACTTAAACCGTGTTAATTTTTAACAAAAATGGGTATTCACCAACATCTCATACTGATTGAGGGTTAGTGATGTTTGATTGTGGACTTATGACCCTCCCTTTTATTCGGGACGCTTGATGCTTGCCGACCTCCACATTTACGATAGGTCGAATTCCCCGGCTCAAAATGGGCCGCTGGGAACAAATGAGGGTGTCTAGGGTAAACTGTTTTGGAATTTTACCGTAAGGTAGCTTCGCGAAATGCCGCCATCATCTTGGCAAATCTTTGAGAAGAAATACATGAGCATTAAAGCACCAACGGACCGAGACGCTACCCACCATCGTGCAGACCTAGTGAGGAACTCACTATATTAGAAAAAATAATACAATCCCACTATTTTCTAGTAATTCCTAGTAATAACTAGGGGATTTTAGACGTAGAGTCGGGGAAAGGACTTAGGGATGACCTAGTGACTAGACCTCCGCAAAGCCAATAAAGCCCATAATAAGCACCAAATAATACAAACATTCTAAGAAACGTGACTTTTTTAATTACCTTATGTTTAGACCCCGTTTTTAGCCCTTAGATCAGGGTAATATTTTATTATTCTAATTAATACCTTATTAATGACTTGTTAATTTTATACAGTACGTTGAAACACACGAAAAAACGCGTTCTTTAGATAAGTCTTAAATTATAGTACTCCCGTGTAAATCCTAGATATATATATCTATCATAACTTCAATATTAACCTTTTTTTTAAACATCCACTAGTCGGATTTTATTTAAAATTAAAGTATACACTTATACAGCTATTATAATTCTAAATTCTAAATCTAAACCCTATATAACTAGTAGAAGGGTCAGAATACAGCGATTACAAGATGCTAGTTGAACCCCCTAAATGGGCTTTGATGGGGGCCCAATAAAAGCCCATCAAAGCCCACTGGGTTGGGTTGGGCTTCGAAGGTTAGGCCCATTTATGGGCTTTGCGGAGGTCTAGTAGTGACCTAGTGACCTGGCGAGCAAAACGCCTATATATTTGCCAGCGAGTATTCTCTGCATACACCCTAAGGGTTTAATATCCAGCCAAAGGGTTCAATTGGTTCCACTTGAGCGACTGTGGTATCTAGGGTTGAACAAGCATACCCCGGTAGCACAACAGCAACTCAACGGCTAGACTTGACCATAAGGACCGTCAACTGCCACCTCTTGGACTCTGTTTCCCAATCTATGAATTACACTCTTAAACTGAGATTGGCTTGTACTTCAAAGACCTTCCCCTTTCCAAAATACAATGCATCTCACCATCTCATCCGTCCTAGCCTTACTCTTTCTACAAACCAAAGCCCTACCCACAAATAACACCCTCGAAAACTTTGTGATTCCCGCATTCGTACCCGTTTCTTCAGGTGCAGATTACAGGTTCTGTACTCAGGGCTGCTGGCCCGCTGCTCTTGCCTGCTCGTCTCCTGCTGTGGTATGTGTGTATATCACTGTCTAGTCTGATAATTGATCCTCCTCGTTGAGACTAAAAGCCACACTCGCCAACCATCCGCAGAACCCTCCAAGTGCGAGTGGATGTACCCCCATCAGCCTCACCAGCCCTCTTCTCGAGTGGTACACACGTAGGGATTTTGGTGCCATTAGGCTTGAGTGCACTCAACGTGCTTTCCAGCCGGGTTGCTGGAGTTGCTGCCTCGATATCACTCCTGTCTTTTAGGACATATGTTAAATTATCTCAAAATTAGGGCAGAATCAGAACAGAGTGGGTTGTGGGGATCAATTGAGAGGTGCATAATAGATCGGTAGTCTCATTCATTTGGGGGGTAGGATAGGGGCTTAGTGTCTTTTACCTCATATTCCGAACGTATTGCCAATACCCAAAATACTGAATTCAAGCTAGTGTGCGGTGGCTTTGAAATGACTACTAAATGGTCACGTCCAAGGATAAAACATGTGGCTTTCTGTTTAGCTGGATATTGAGACATGATCTATCAGATCCTTTCCCCTCTCTGAATCATGCTAACAAAAAAAGTAGGCCTCATGATGTAATATCGTATTCATATCAAAGGTTATACATAGAAAAGTCTTAAACACAAAGTATGCTTTTGTTTCCGCCTTTTTCTGCTGTCTATCTACACAACTGAGCAGGGGGAGAAAATATCTTAAAGGCATCTATGTTGTAAGAAGACTACTAAAATGACTACTCAAAAGACTACTAAAAAGACATCACAAGGCCGCATACGCGGCCCTCTACTCTTGTGGATATTAAATTAAAAGGATCCAGCGCCCACTTGTTGTGCCACAAGTACCACAAGTAAGCGAGGGGAAACGGTGTGCCCGAAGACTCCTTGAACTCACTACTTCGAACATTGTCCTTGATATAATGCAATATGTGAGCCACTAAGGCCCTGATAAAAGCCAGTATCAATGGCAAAACTTGTCATTAAGGTTACTTTTTAAAGTCAAATGAAATCACCGATGTTGATCAATACCCCTCGGGCCCTCGTGCCAAGGGATGATCCCCCAGCTTTTCGGACTTACCCCGGGTTACGCTATACCTTTTTCAAGGGATAAGCATAAATACTCGCGGAAGGATGTCCGATCGGGCTATTTCTCTTTTTCTCCCACCTCTCTTTGCCCCCCATGGTTGATTCAAAGGAAACCCCGGAGAAACCCTCCCCACAACAATTCGAGGATACACCCGTCCAAGATTCCCCATATAGCATCGATCTCAAGCAAGATGGACTAGTCATAGACGCGGAAGCCTCTAGCCTCGGCCCACCGACCTTTGAGGGAGTTGATGAAGATGCTGTCCTCCGGAAGATGGACATTCGTCTCATTCCCATGCTGAGCATATTGTATCTGTTGGCCTTCCTGGATCGCGGGAATATAGGAAATGCGAAGATTGAGGGGCTTGTTGACGATCTTAATATGACGGGACCGCAATACAATTGGAGTTGTATGATGAATCCCCCCGCTTCCTCATTAAGAATGGCCAATTGACACATGTTTGTGGGTAGTGACTGTCTTCTTCTTTACCTATTCCGCCTTTGAACTGCCGAGCAACCTGCTTCTGAAGAAGTTAAGACCCTCAAGATGGCTTCCGTTGATCATGGTCGCTTGGGGAATTGTTATGGTGAGCGCGTGCATCACTCGAGAGTCATCTCAAGCAGCATTTAATAATGAAAATATTACAAATAGACCCTGATGGGAGTTGTCAAAGATTACGATGGATTGCTCGCAACTCGTCTATTTTTGGGCGTTGCAGGTATGTTGTTCTATGTGCTCTCTCAACCTGCAGCTTGTTGTCGTCAAGACTAACGATTATAATGCAACAAAACAGAAGCCGGCTTGTACCCTGGTGTGGCATACTACATTACACTTTGGTACCCACGCCATCGGGCACAATTCAGACAAGCTCTCTTCTTCAGCGCCGCGAGTGTTGCGGGTGCATTCTCTGGGCTTCTTGCATTCGGTATCGCTGTAGGTGCTCTGCTCGCCGACGGCAATGAAATCTTTACTAATGTATCTCGAAATTCCTAGAAAATGGACGGCGTGGGTGGATATGCTGGCTGGAGATGGATTTTCATTCTTGAGGGTCTTCTTACGGTTCTTGTGGCCTTGATAGCCCCATTTGCGATTCACGACTCCCCAGAGACTGCCTCCTTCTTAACTGAAGAAGAACGTCGATTTGTGATCCACAGTCTGCGGATTCAAAACTCGGTAGACTCGCGCGAAATTGATCAGACGAATGATAAGTTTGAAATGCGCTATGTCATTGAGGCTTTCACCGACTGGCAAATGTGGCTGGGTCTATTCAGTAAGTTCTGTTCATTGCCGAGTATTCAATGTTTCGTTGACTGATCCATACAAAGTGTTCTGGGGTATCACCTGTCCGTTATACGGAATTTCCCTTTTCCTTCCTTCGATCATCAAGGATCTAGGTTATAGTTCTTCGACTGCCCAGCTTCTTACTGTAAGCTCTCTGTGGTACTTCATTATTGAATGGAAGATTGACATTATCATATTAGGTCCCAATTTATATCACTGCAGCAGTTGTGGCTGTTGTTGCAGCGTGGGTATCAGACAGACGAAAGGAGAGATCGCCGTTCATTCTCTTCTTTATGGGCATGATTATCGTCGGCTTCATCATCTGTCTCGCATCTACTGGTCGTGGAGTCCCAGGTGTTATGTATTTTGGTATCTTCGTAGCAGTCATCGGTAAGTGCATCCAAGCTACAAATATGTACCCCAACTAACATAATATCAAAAGGAATCTACCCAGCATTCCCCGGAAATGTCACATGGATCAGTGCCAATATGGCAGGTGACTACAAGCGAGCCGCCGGCATGGCCATTTACATTGGACTAGGAAACCTGTCAGGAGGTAAGGATAGCACATCAATTACGAGTTTGAGATTCAAACTAATGGTCCTTGCTCAATAGCTATGTCCTCAAACTTCTACCGTGCCCAAGATGCGCCGAATTACATCCTCGGCCACTCCCTTGAACTTGCTTTCGTTGTCGTGGGCATAGTAGCGGTTGTCATTCTACGTATGACGTACCAGCGTGTTAACCGGAAACGGGATGCTATGGATCCTTCAGAGTATCCTGAAAATTCTGACTCGCTCGGTGATCGCTCTCCGCTATTCAGGTACATGCTTTGAGGTAAGTGCGAGAGTTGATGATTGGATGATAGAAATTGAACGGGCCGTGAAGTATGTTCAGATTACGCTACATTCTTCTTTGGGTGATTCCCTGATATAGGCATCTCTTTCTTTCAACTTCTATACACATACACATAAGAGTAGAGACGGCTTTAAATAACAATAGGTAGGCAGATTACAAAGGAATAAAACGCCGAAAGACAGCCATTAAGCTACTATTTGAAAGCTTCGACCAGCTTTCCAATGGAATGGATCCATATCTTTCCTTTGCAGCACTGGGCAAAGAGTTCTTCGGCATGGTCACTGTAAAATACCCATTGGATAGCGTTCCGCCACTCTCCGTCAACCTGAATGACCAGAGCATCTGAGGACTGGATTTCAGTGTAGCTCTCCATCGTTGTAAATTTGACATTGTTGGACATCGCAATATGCCCTATCCAGAGGTCTTTATTTCCCATGTAGCGCAGATCATTTGGTAACCGGCCACCACGTCTGCAATTCCAAATCACCTTCTTTCACGACTGACTGTCAGCCCCACCAGCCCACAGATAGTTAACCGACAAGCTCTGCACGAGACTATCTGGCACCGCAACTTGTAATATTGCAAGCTCGGCGATTGAGAATCTATGCTTCTTGTACATTGCATACCGATCGGCAGTTTCTCATTGAGGTGAAAAGTACGCAACCGCAGTACGTCCACTGAAGTCCCCAGGACTTGTACTGATTGGGGTAAGGTGAAGTTCCTCTGGACAGCTCTCGCAGCATTCAATTGCTCCAGACAAAAGACACACTCGCCATATCATTGTATAGCCGACAAAGCGCGCAGGCACTTCCTGTTCAGTCACTCAGGTTATCGGGTCTTTGTCGGGCATAGTGGTATCTTTGGCAGCGGCCGGGCCTTTGCTGGGTACGATTGTCTCTTTGGTAGCCGATTTCAGAGATCCCTTCCTGAAGATCGGGGCGGGAGGGACAGGAGGTGGCGACCTTTCTCTAGCACCGAGTACCGCCAGTCCCTGTCTCCGCTCCATTTCTTGCCGTAGCTGGCTGTTCAGGCCCTCGAGCGTCTTGAAGGCCATTTCAATCGAATCCAACAACCAGAACTTGCAACTTGCCGTTGCCCTCACATCATCAAAGTCTGGATGAAGAATTGATTGTTGTAGACATTGACCGATCCCGAGGGCAGCCATCGTTGGCGTCCAATCGTCGGTAATAGAGAGCACATCGGGTACCGTAGAATTCTTGACCTGGGATCTGGCGTAATCCATAAATTCAAAGTCCAAGGAATCCAAGGGATCGTCAATCGGGCGGCTAACATACTGGTCCCACAATTTACTGGCGGTTTCCTCGTTGAATCCAATGAACTCGTATGTTTCACCACTTTCCATCTCTTGAGGAAGCTCGATCTCGTCCTGTGAAACGTTGACAAAGGTGGCCGAAAAGCTAGTGCGATCTATCAAATTCGAGGAAGAAGATGACCGAGATGTTGCCGGACTGGATAACGCCGTCACTGATATTGTGCGCTTGCTATTCGTTGCTGGTCCTAGAAGCCCCTCGTCCTGGAAAACGACGCAACTTTTACAGAAATAACCGACATGGTGGCGACAAGGCGAAGGTGACAGGCGAAAAGATCAGAATAAACAATCAGGGCAAGCAGGAAGGATGAGGATAAAAAGCTCAAGTAGACAGCAGCTATGCTGTTAGTAGATCAGAGAGTAACTTCCAAATATGGTTTAGTGATTAGACCGTCCGACAATAATATAGGTAACTACAGTGAGAGGTGATTACCCGTGGACATGCTCTGCCGACTGGTAAGGTATTTTACTTTCCTAATCTTCGTATGGTTATTTGGTCATAGTACAACGCTCGAAATTCACTAAGGTGTGAAGAAGACGGGTTTTCTTTGCTATAACTAAGGCCGTGGACTTAATGAAAAAAGAAACTGAGAAATAAAGATCTTCTCAGATCACATACTGCTCCCAAATCCAGATCAGAGCTCTAGCTCTTTGAAAGCCCACTTGACAGGGAAGGAAAACCTGCCTATATGTACCTTCCAATGTATGTGCCACAGATAGTTCTTTCCTTCTCTCAATCACTCACCTCACTTGTTTCCCAGACATTTTCAACCCTTCTCTTTTCCACTCGTCTCTTAGTCCAACCCGACGGATATAGCCCTCCAGACACGCAAGAAGATTGTTATCGACTCAGAGACCCCAAAGTCCGGCGCGGTAGGGGAGAACCGGCCCTACCCACCCGAGTGAGTACTCAATCAACGTCAATGTGCAGATGTACGCCATCCCTTCCTTCATCAGGGTAACAGCATAAATTGCCCTCCCCTCTAATGTAAGAGGTGACGGTCTACTTGTCCTTAAAGACACCTGTGGGCGTTCGATATCCCACTGATCACCCTTCTGGCTTGGTAGGTACTGGAATATACTGGATGATTGACCTACCAAGAGGCAAGTGATCTCCATGGTGGTATTCTGGCCAGACCCTCGTGGTTTAGGGAGGATACTATCTCCATCATACGTGGGCTGTTCGGCACCGATGAGGTTACTTCCAGTGAGCTGTCGGGAGACTTCTCCGCATATGTGATGTAATTCATCAAGCTCCAATAACAGTATATCATCCACTAACAGACTAGAGGCGAGCAAACTTTGTTCCCCACGGAGAGTCTGATAAGGACTCAATATTCTTCAGATGGAAAAGTCTTCCAGTGAAGGGCCTATTATTTTCGATGAAGAGCAGCAGGTTGAGGCCCTCAATACAAATTGCCACCTATCGTCAATGGTGGGTGACCTTCCACGGACACAGTGATGACAGCTAATCCCGACTAGGGCAAAGCAGCCGTCTGGGCAATCACCACGTATGCGCGCGGCCGCTCGGACTAGGGATCGGTCGAGGATGAGCTCCTGCGGGGTCACTACTCATCGGAGGAGGAATACATATGTGCACGACGAGTAGTGCATCCCATCTATACCGGCAAGCTATCAACAATACGAAGGAAAAGGCCGAAGGGTCTGATAATTCCGTATACGGTATCACCTCCGATAACTATACTGGTGGTTTATTCATATTCGTTGCGATGGAAGGGTATGAAGTGGAAATATATAAGAACCCTGGGATTTTATTACTAACATATGATTGCCAGACTATTCGGTCTACCCCATCAACGATCAACTGCTCATGACACTTTGAGCACCCCGGAAACGTTTAATCACAAACCCGAATTCCGGGTTACCCCAACCTGGGATCAGAATACCCTGGCGTATGCGGGGTGTGAATCTAGTATGGCCCTTACATAGCGAGTGACACGCACATACCCGCTAACGATCTTATCTGTTTTATAGACTATAGTTATGGATCAATAATCAGGCGGGCAAAGACTAAAGAGCCGCATGATGTTCTAACAAACATGACACGACTGTGATCAGAAAGAAAAATCGGTACCTTGCCAGCCTGTGGTACATCTTCACAGGCGGATACAACACATTAAAATCGCTGGTTGACAAAAGCCCCAGGCGTCCAGACTCCTCCCACATCACAACCTGCGAGATAAAAAACAGCCAAAATTTTCAGGATGACTTCAGGGTTCATGCAACAATCCGGAAATGCTTCTTCCTTCAAGATACAGAAGGTTCAAACTAAAGACCGACTCGGCGAGCTCAAATCCGGGGGAAGATGACGGAGGAGGCGACCATCATTATGGCTATCGATGAGATTTGAACGCTTGTCGGGTCTCCTTGAAGGGATGCTGGGCTTAGGGGCCCAAGAGAATGTCGACCAGTGGATAGCTGGTGATAATGCTGTCGTCCATCGGTCACTTGTCAATATCTATACCAGCTCCACTAAGCTGAAGCTGAGGCCTAAAAGAAGGCCACGTCCGGTCGAAGATGACCTTGCAAGCCAAACCGCTTTAAAATGGACACGCAAGTCCGTGTCAAAGAGGCAGTCAGAAAGATCCTTCCACTTCATCTTCATTTGAAGAGGCGAGAAGCACTTCCATCTATATTTAGAGGTTCAAGTATCTCTTATGACGAATAAGACACCGCTTCAATGAGACCTCAGAGACAGACCTGGATTTCTCGAGCTTCACTTATCATCGACCGTAATTTAGATTGACTAGGCATTACCTGGCGACTCTTCTGTTGTTCGTTGTTATTTTGCTTTTCGGTTTGTTTCTTTCCAATCCTCTGAATTGTATCGCGATGAGAACAACTACCAAGACTTATTTTAACTAGTAACCGTCTTCTATCTGGTGTGTCAGATTTAAAATGACAATATCCAAACCAGTATCAAGAATCTGCCTCCGAGAGCGACGAAAGCGACAGGGGTCAAATGGCCAGAATGGCTAGGGCATCGCTGAACTCGCTGAGCAACTGGGAACTGTTTGCGGATGTGGTCAGATCTCTGTGTGCAACTCGAAAGAGACTATTCGGCAAGTCGTGCAGGTATTTGGAAAGGTAAATGAGCTCTTACTGATTTAAAATGCTAGGGTTACCCGAAAAGGCCAATACAATTTGATATTGTTAATGACTTCGGGCTTAAATCTCGAGACGACGAGATTCGGGGATATTAGACAGGCCCTGAGTGCAGTATGAGACGGCAGAGCCCTCTGACACTGTTAGTAAGTCATTCTCTCGGGGATTATCGAAAACCGAGTAATAACCAACGAGCACAGAACCGCGGAAGAGACCGGCAGCTCACCAGAATATGGCAGCTCTCGGGCGCTAGTCAATATGACTCCCGATGGCAAAGACAAATTCGCCGTCATACAAACCCATCGACGGTGCATGCTCAATTTGGTTTTCTGAAAATAACTGGATGATCTGCAAGATCAGGATCTGTAACCGGGTTAATGAGTTGGAGATATCGCCAGAAGCGCAAAAAACATGGAGGGTTTCTCCTTTTAAGTTGTTCTCGTTTGGTTCGAGGTATTTGACAACATTGAGATCAAGTTGTGCTTTTTCCTATTTGCTAGAGAAACCTTGAAGGACCCAAGTGTCACCAATGGGGTTCTCACTAGTCGACAGTGCGAACCGACTAAGCTATATGCTAATATAATGTCCGAACGATCTCCTAAAATTCAATTAGATAGAGGGTCGACCTTATCTGTAAGTCATAGGGTATCGAGACTATGGTTAATAATCCCAAGCTTGAATCAGCAATCGAGCTGAACGAAATGAAATTGTCTGGTGAGTGTTCACTATAGCTTACAAAGTCTTTGGTCTTCAATATAAGCTTCTTCAGCCACTCAGCCACATTGACCCTCAGAGTTAGATCATCACGGGAAGAGCTCCGGCATTCGATCATCATACCATCATAGCATAACTCTCCCTCAATCAACCCAGTGGCCACAATGACTATCATTCAAGACCCTATCCCACAGGGCCACCTCCCATCTCCAGAACCTCCAATTTCCAAACACCATGCCATCAAGCCCGTGGACCAAACCCGACACAAGCACCCGCCCAATCGCCGTAGTCGGCGGCGGCGTGATGGGCCGAAGAATTAGTATGATGTGGATATCCTCAGGCTTCACCGTAATCCTTTGTGAGAAATCCAGCGAATCCGACAACGCAGTGGGCTACGTCCAAGAACACAAAGCCGAGCAAGCCGCCAAACAAGGCACGACTCCCGCCGAACTGAAAACAACAACCTCGCTAGAAGAAGCCGTCTCGAACGCATGGATGGTCATCGAAGCCATTCCAGAGAAACTGCAGATGAAGATCGAGATCCTGGCGGAGATAGACAAGGTCGCCCCACTGGACTGCGTAATCGCCAGCAACTCATCGTCGTTGCGGACTAGCCAGATGATCGTCAAGACGGAGAAGAACTACCGCATCTGCAATGGTCATTACTACATGCCGCCGGACCAGACGTATTTCGAGGTGATGTCGTGTGGATACACTGATCCTAATATCTTTCCGTTTTTGATGGAGAAGGCTGCTCAGGCTGGGTTCACGCCTGTGCATGCTAAGGTTGACTCTACTGGGCTTGTGTTTAATCGCATTTGGGCGGCGATTAAGCGTGAGGTTTTGCTTGTTATGGCTGAGGGTGTGAGTGATGGGCAGACGATTGATGAGATGTTCAGGAGTTGGTTCAAGGCTGAAAAGGGTCCTTGTATGATGATGGATACTGTTGGACTGGATACTGTGTACAATATTGAGGCTGTGTATACGCAACAACGCGATCTGGACACTACTGCCATGGATTGGCTGAAGGAGAATTATGTTGACAAGGGCAATTTGGGCGCCAAACGTGGAAAGGGTTTACTTGGATAAAGATCATTATGGATTGTAAAAGTTACAATACAAAATTGTTTTAGAAGATATTATTGAAACCGCAGTTCTGAGTCTGAAGATGAGAGTGATGAGACATGACCAACTAAAACCATTGATTTATTGGGTATAAGATAAATATGGCACTCTCGCCCCCAGGATTATATAGGACCGATTCGCGTTGCCTCGGACAGTCCAGTTATACCATGACAATAAAGCTGAAAATATTTGAGGACAAACACGATTGGAGCCAAATAGGTGATGTACAAGAGTGTTGAAGACTGGTAAGGATAAAACGAAATAACCAAAAGAAGGTGACACAGGGCATGAGTATAGGTATCAATAGTCCGAGGCAAACCGGACAGGGAATCAAGAATCATCAGAAGTGTGAGCATCTAGGAGACACAATGGAAAGAAATTAGGCAAGGAAGGTGGGTAAAGTGAAAGAGTAATCAGAACAGGACCGCAACAAATAAGCGCGGTCTGAAACCTCGGAGGAAAGGGTATAGAGTGAAGGGCATTAGGGACAGGCCCTCGGGTGCGACTGGTAATCATTAGGGTATAGCACACCCATAGGGCCAATTAATGTAAAGGGGGTTCGGCAGCGAAGAAATTAGCCAAACAAAATTGAAGACAAAGGAGCGAAGCTTTGCCCAGAGAAACAATAATTAAGAGGCTTTCCTGCGACGATGGACTTTCCATTCCGCTTTAGCGACACGCATGAACATTTCGGTGTCTTTGATGGGAACCCAGCTGGTGAGGACTTTCATGATATTCTCAAAGTCGGACTCGAGGATGATATCACGCATGCCATCAATAAGGGCAGCAGATGAAGCATGCAAGACGTCAAGGCCTTGACCAAATGTCCTTGGGTTATCAGCAGGGGGAGATTTGTTCTTTCCAGAGGTTGCTGGACGGCCAGTGTTGTCTTCAGCATCTCCAAGGAGCATGAAGACATCCCACACCCGAAGCTGAGCCGGGAAGGGGATTGAGTAATTAAAGAGAGTGAGGTACCAGCGAGTACCATAGGCTGTAGGTGGGATTCCAACCTCGTTCTGCAAATTTAAAGCGTTAGTAGACCCTTATCGTTTTTCGAGGGAAATTGACTTACCAGTTTCGTGGCCACTTCACCTCCGGCGAGCCACTCTCGTTCAAAGTCGGCCAAGGCCTCCATTAGACCAGCAAAACCGCACTTGTACAACTCTTCCAGACCTCGCAGCTGCCACAATCTGACGAGCATTATAAAAGAGTGTTCCTCGTCGTAATACGCCAGTAATGTAGCCGCGAGAGTTGCCATTCCCTGTACGTAGCCCGTGTCAGGGAAATATAGTGACATGGCGTGAAGGACACGGAACAATAGCCTTTGGCCACCCCGATAGCGTCTCCGAAACATAATATGGCTGGAGATTGTGCGCGGTACATCGATATCAATCTGGACATCGTCCGGTGATGAGATGAACTGGAGCTCATTGTAGGCTTCGATGAGCTCGTCCGCAGGCGGGCTGCCCTTGTGGCGTCGAGCGCTGGCTTCAAGGAATGAGTACCAGGCTGTTGACCGCCATCGATCTGGAATGCCTTTCCAAGTTCGCTCAATCAACTTTGAGCTCTGAGTATCAAACTCAAAGGTCATACCGCCACCGTCCTTAGACTTCTTGGTCGGCTTGGCCATCTTGGTCCACTTGTCTTCACGTTGCCACTCCTTCCTTCGCATTGCGCGAGTAATCGGTGCATCTTCATTCTCGCCAGCAGATGGAGTGGGCAGAGTGAGCATGTCAGCCGCCTCATCCTTGGCTTTTCGGTCTCGGTTGTGAGGCAGATGATTGGTCGCCGCGCGCAAACGAGATGTCGTACGGCGCAATGGCGGACCATAGTTGCTTTGGGATGAAGATGGACGGGCGCTCAGGGAACTTTGGGATATTTTGCGGACTAGAGACGGACCGTTGAAGGAACGGTTGCTGGCTGGAGCGGTCGGTGGGCGAATTGAACGTTTCCGCCGAGGTGTCTCAGAAGCCAGCAGAAGGCTAGTAGTGACTCGCTGGAGCGGGTTAATCTCGGAGCCCTTGGAGTTCTTTGCAGGTCGAATGAAGCCATAACGATCGACTTCTTCTGCGCCGACATTTTGCCAATATTCAGCACCTCCTGCTAGCTCTTGGGTTTCCCTCTTAATTCGGACACGCTCCACTTCGACAGAGGCCCTTGGTTTGGTTTTATTTCCAGGCTTATTCTTCTGAGCTCCACAAGTTTCAGTATCTGGGGCCGCACCCTCTTCCCACAAGACCCCGTGTTCTGAAGCCAATGCTTTCGCAACCTCGGAGTCAGTAACGTTTTCTTCGCCTTTCTCGTACATTAACCGAACTCGCCGTGACAGCATATCTTCGTCTGCCGAGATTGCTCTGCTCGGAAGACTAGTTTGTCTCGGGCGAAGAGTGCCTTGGGGTCTGGCCTGTCGTGGAACAGCTTTCGGTGTTCCCCTTTCCCCTTCGGACTGGTTCATGGGAATGGGAGGGGGCGGCGCAATTTTAGGTGCCTGTCGGTTCAACTGCTGATCACAACTATCTTCCAATATTTCCTGAGCAGGCTGGCCGAGTTCTTGACGGGGTTCCTCCTCTTCCAGTTTTTGCTGGCGCGGTTGTTCCGATTGCTGCTCGAGGTGCTCGCCCAGCTTCTCCTGAGGCGGTTGGTCTGGCTGTTGCTCTGGGTGCTCTGCGAGCTTCTCCTGAGGAGGCATTGGGTGCGGACGCTTTGCCTGACTCTTGATCAGACTTCCGCGATTGGAAAACTTCATCGACTTATCCAAACCATCCAAGGAGGCTCTCGGTATATCTAAGGGGATACCAGCGAAGGAGTGCTCGATTTGAGGCACTGGTGGAGGCTCTTCCGAGCTAAGTTTCCTCTCCATCTCGAGTGACCGTTTCCTTAAACCACCCCACTTTCTTTCTGACCATCGAGAGCTCGGCCTTGAGCCGGGCCGCGAGCTGGGGCGGGAGCCTGGTTCATTCACAAGAATGCTGGGCACGCTGCGCAAGGAGGGCGCACCCTCCGACCAAATCGTTCGAGTTTCATCTCCAACGGACACGGATGGCGCTAGCCGCGAGAACATAAGCGCAGATGCATGACCATCACTCGGACCAGACGCAGCGCTTGTGCTTAAAGATCGGCCATTGGAGGCTATTGGCGCATCGGCTGTGGGCAACGAGACCGACCGGATTGCAGCGGTATTTTCAAACGGCACGGCGTGAATTATCGGATTGGACTCCGAGCGGTCGGGCGATAACGATGCAGAAACCTCATTCACCATTATCCCGGCATGACTTGCGAATCTGCGCGTGGGCTAGAATCGCGTTAAAGAAAGGAGCGTAGAGGGCGAAGAAGGGGGGGAGGAATATTAAGCGAAAATCCTGGATTAAAGTAGAAAGGAGCGACAAGGGGAAAATCACAAGGGAAGTTCAGAACAGAATCTCCCATTAAAATTGAGGAGAGAGATACCTGTGGAGTTATTTTGGGTCAGTCTTGGCGCTCTTGAAGGAAATATTCTTATGGAATTCATTTACATGTAATTACATGTAACTATACATAATTCTATTGTAGGTACGTGTACAGCTTGTATATCTTCTTACCATCAAGTCAAGTGCTAGATGTATGTAGTATCTAATATGTACGTAGTACTTTCCTTGTCTCAAAATAGATATCAAGGGGTTTGTCCCACCTTGGGCCGCGTGTGGATCGTGGGAGAACAAGGAGTATGGTGGAGTACGCTAGTTCCCAGCTTCTTATATTAGAATGCCCAACGGTGGAACGTCAAAGAGGTAATCTGTTTGTATCCGTGTCTACCCAACTACGGACATGAACAACAGTAGATGCAATTGAAACCCCCAATCCCCCTATACGCCCCCCCAAATATCCAAGACGCGTGGAACTCCTATAGCCGAGGCTTAGGTACCCGGCCATCAGCTGCCAATGCATTCAATGCAGACAAAAAAAAAGCGAAACCCCAGCTAGAACTAGCGTAAAAAAAAGCATCATAAGGGCGTGAAATGGTCAATCCAGTGGAGTTAGATACAGCTCAAGCCACAGCAGCTGTGTGAGCTGATGGCGAGTCGCGAGTTGGTCGAGCCCGATCCACAGGCTCTTTGGGCAAGAGTTCGATCTGACGGACCAGGAAGCTCTTTTCATCCGTAAATTGGTCGTCGTCAGTTCGGTCCTCCAAGAATTTAGGCAAAAATCTCAACAGTCGATCACGGTTATTAATCAGAATTCGTTGCACTGCCACCGATTTGGTCGGGTTGGCCACAAACACCTAGTCACTTGTCAGAGCGAGCCCCCATTTTGCGATTTGTGGGAATATTTACCTTGAAAACATGGAACCCTTCGTACTGCACCATCTTGCGATCGTCCCGCAGCAATTTCATGCACAGTTTGAGATTGTCTCCACTCTCCACGTATGCCATCATCACATTGTAGTTCGCACGGTCCAATAGGATCTCACCCAGAAGCTTGATGCTTTGACGCTTGGTCACATAGGAGTCTGAATGGACCAGGATGTTATTGAATCGGCCAAAGAATAGTTCAAAGTTGGTTGCCAGGTATGAAGTCACGAGGCTCTTATGGCGGGTCAAAATCTCCTATGAAAGATATGTCAGCCACTTATCATCAGTAGCCATAGTTCTGGATTTTACCCTGAATGTGGTGAACGCATCTGCGCTGACTTCGAAATTGCTCTTGTCTATCCAATCAAAGAATCTCCAGAACACACCATCTCCCCTTTGTGGGTGGTTGGGTTTCACTTCTGATAGTCGTATGGCGGATTCTCCTTCACTGGATTGATCATACAGCACAATCGCAGTGATGACGTCGAATTTTAATGCCTCTCGGAGAATGACACCACATGGCATTGCACTTTGACTCTGCATGTAGCCCCGGCATAACTCGACAATGATCTCCGGTCGATGGTGGACAAGGTATGAGATGACGGGAGGATCCTTTTCCACTCCATATGAATGAGGCCGGAATCGAAGGATATGAGAGAATACGGTCTGAGTGTCTTTTCTGGCTTCGAAGGGAAGCAAATGGATGCTCTTAGATAGATCATAGAGTAGATCTTCTTGTAGGGTTGCTTGTACAAGTGCATGGACTTGATCCACTGATGCGGAGACCTCTAAAGAAGATCATTGTATTAGTTCTTTGATATTGCGCCTGGGATGTTGCTTCCAGGAGACTAACCTGGTGTTCCTTGTACTATCACCTTCATTTGACTGAGCTGCTTAGCCAGCTCCTCTTCGGCCTGGTACATGCGTTAATCGGATCGTTCCATACATATTTGATGTCTTCAAACAAACCTTGGGAGCATTCTGGGAGTCATGGATCCTCAGTAATAATTCCTTCGTTGTCCGGACGATATCAGCAGGTTGCCGCGACCGGCCGCGATTGAAAAAGAAAGCCATGGTGAGATGAGGAGAATATGCGGCAGATTGAGAAAGAAACTGGAGATTAAGGCGACATGGGATAAGTTATAATTCCAACGGAAGAATCGAGATCGAGTCCAAGGGGAAGCAAATGTGATGTATTCGATTGCAAGTTGCGAATAAACAAACCGGGGCGGGGCAACGAGGACCTTTCTGCCTGAGGCATCAACCGATAACGGATTTTTTTTTCTATCAAAAAATGTTATCTTCTGCCCCTCCCTTGAAATAATTTATTATTGACTATTATAAGTCAATAAAGTCATGTCAGCTTCCAATGCCGTGAACCCACCTGTGGGTGAGAGTTTCCCTGACTCACACTCTGTATCGGATTCGTCCGATTCCAGCAACGAGGAGGGCTGGGAAGATGTCGAGGCCGATGAGGAGTCGCAGCCTGTGGTTGGCCTCTTCAATAACCAGGTCTTCCCCGATGCGCGCTCAATGCTGAAGGAGTGCAAGGAAAAGTACAATTTTGATCTTCTGAAGATTCAGAAGGACCTTGGTACGTCCATCTTCTACTCTTGCGGGGGACTCAACAATCGAGGCTAACTATTTTTCGCTTCTAGATCTGGATTTCCTCGACAACATCAAGTTGGTCAACTACATCCGCACCGAAGTCAAGAACGGAAACAATACCCCCGACGTTTCATCCAAGTCCAAATTCGAGGATGATGTCTATCTCAAGCCCGTTTTGGAGGACGACGCTCTCTTGTATAGCTTGGACGATCTTGCCGAAGAACAGGGTGAAGACGCTGTCGCCGGTACCGAGACAAACCGACAGGTTCTCGAACTCCAGGAGAACTTGGAGCGGTTGCAAACCCAATTCTCCGAATATCGTATTGCTGTACAGCAGTCGATGGATGACCAAATGTCGAAGGATGATGAGAAGCTTGCCGAGTCCAACCCGCAACCCTCAGCCAAGGCTATCGATAGACACCAGGATGCCGAGGATGGATATTTCGTCTCGTACGCTTACAACGGTAAAATACCCCGCTCAACTTATTATGCATATGATGCTAACGTAGTCTAAAGGCATTCATGAATCTATGCTCAAGGACACTATCCGCACCGACTCTTACCGCGATTTCGTCTACGAAAACAAGCACGTTTTCAAGGACAAGGTTGTTCTTGATGTTGGCTGTGGCACTGGTATTCTGTCCATGTTCTGTGCCAAGGCTGGCGCAAAGAAGGTCATTGCTGTGGACAACTCGAACATTATTGACCGAGCCAAGGAAATCGTCCATGACAATGGCCTCGAAGATGTGATCACGTAAGGACTCATAATCATCCCCCAATACAGAGACAGCACTGACTTTATCCCAGGTGTATCCGTGGCAAAATCGAAGAGGTTACTTTGCCCGTTGAAAAGGTCGACATCATCATCTCTGAATGGATGGGTTACGGTCTCCTTTTCGAGGCCATGTTTGATTCCGTCATCTACGCCAGAGATCGTTACCTCGCTCCCGGTGGTCTTATGGCTCCTTCGCACGCTACCCTGCGCCTTGCCCCTTATGCCGACCCTGATTTCATCGCGTCTCACATCTCGTTCTGGAACAATGTCTACGGTTTCAAGATGGACAGCATGCTTCACAAGATCTACGATGAGGCTATCGTCCGCAGCAACCAGCCCACGACTGTTGTAGGAGATTCTCCAATTTTCCTGACACTTCCACTACACACCATCACCGTGGAAGAGCTGTCCTTCTTGAAGGAATTCCAGGTCACATTGAACCAGGATGTTGAGGCATTGGATGGATGGATCATCTGGTTCGACATTTTCTTCATGCCCTCCAGAGAGTCTGTTCTGCCCGAGAATGCCATTCCCGAGGATATGCAAAAGAAGGGAATCGTCTCGTTCACCACTGGACCTCATGGAACCGAGACCCATTGGCAGCAGACTGTCCTTCTCATTGACCATGCCAAGGATGATGTCAAGCAAGGTTCTCGGGCCTTGAAGAAGGGCCAGGTCATCACCGGCAAGATCGGTTATGAGAAGACCGAGAAGGGCTCTCGGGGAGTGGACATCAGTGTCCAGTGGGAGTCCGATGCAAATGAGAAGGGGGTCCAACTGTGGAGCCTCCAATAGGATCGAGCGATCTTTTGATACGTTTTCTGATGAACTAAAAGAGATATGACTACCCATATAAAAAAGGACGGCACTCTATTACCTAAGTGTCGTCTATTTGCATTTTACTATAAGTGGAGTGGGAAAGCAGAGGAAGTACTATATAGAACAGAGGCGTTAGCCCAATTAGGCCGGTTGTCGTGATGGTCCCTAAAAACCCTCGTAGCCCATCTACAAGATCTAATCTACTTGATACAAGATGTGGAAGCTCCCAAGGATGCTTTTGTTTTGATGGCTTGTACTTCTCTCGCGCATCTCGCTGTCAATTGGGATTGACTCACGGAAGTCCCCGAAGACGGAATTCTTTTGAGTATGCAGCAAAAAAAATACTTTAAGCACCCAAACCTTCAGAGCTATGGAGGATCCACTCATGAGAGCTATCGAGGCATTGGATACCGATTTCAGAACATTCCTGACATATCTCAAATCCGTTGCAACCTTTGCAACGGTAGTAGGCGTTAGACGTAATGAAGCGAGTGCATACGTCGCACAATTTACTATGTTCATTGGATGAGACTGAAGAGGACTCAACACTGAGGTCACTCTCGCAAATCTCGAATTCCATTTTCTGGGCCCATTGCCGCACCAGGTTGATGATTTTGACACGCCCAGACTTCGTCGCCCACCAGGCCAAACTCCGCCCGAGTCCATCCTCAAAGTGGGCTGCAATATCTGTCAAGGGAAGTAGAGCTTCAACCTCTTCTTCATGTCCATTGCGAATTGCCGCGCAGAGCGCAGTCGTTTGATGGCGGTCTTTCGCGTTCGTAAGAGCAGGATATGAAAGAAGCAACCGTACTATTTCGGTCCGACCTCTTGCAGCAGCAATGAAGAGAGGTGTCCGACTGCACCTATCCTGGACATCGAGGCTAGTTTCTGAAGCCTCGAGGAATAGCTTGACTACCTCAAGATGGTCGTTTTCTGAAGCCGTGTGCAGAGGTGTGAATCCTTTCTTATCTGCAAGGGTGGGTTCCGCCCCATGATCGAGAAGAATCTTCACCACCTGGGGGTACCCGCTGAGAGATGCAGAGTGCAGAGGTGTTGTCCCGTCATCGTTTGCGACTGTAGTATCGGCATTGTACCCCAGCAGAAGCGTGACTATATCAAGATGACCACGACTTGAAGCCATATTCACTGGCGTCCATCCGTCGCTGGTCGTGACGTTGATATCCGATCCATTCTCGAGGAGTAGTTTAACCGCCTCGGAATGACCGTTTTGTGAGGCTATGTATAGCGGCGTGCGACGCTGGTGATCTGCCAATCCTATGTCTGCCTTTTTCTGTAATAGCAAGTTGCAGACCTGAGTATGATCATGAGACGAGGCTTCATGTAGTGGCGTCCAGCCGTCTTTATTTCCAATATCAATGACGTCTATGTCCCTGTCCAGTAGCAATCTGGCAATCTCCAGATGGCCACCGCACGAGGCGGCATGTAGTGGCAACCATCCAAGATGGTTCGTCGTTCTGATATCAGCACCTTGCTCACGCAGTAGTCTGACCACCTCAAGGCAACCGACTTTTGAGGCAGCGTTCACTGATGTCCATCCGTCGTTTCTTGCAGCGTTGATATTCGCCCCGTGTTTAAGGAGTAATTTGACTGACTCCAGCTGATTGAATTGTGACGCCCAAGTAAGTGGTGTCCATCCGCCATGCATCGCAGCTTCGACATCTGCCCCCTTCTTGAGAAGAAACCTGAGACTAAATGTGCCTCCCCACGCTCCTGCTGCTATCAATAGTGGTGTCTGGTCATTGCAGTTCCTTGTGTTGAGGTCGGCACCATTGTCGAGTAGTAGTTGGACCACGTCCTCCCTACGATTGTCTGCGGCCCGGGATAGCGCCGTTGCACCACCGCTGTCCTTCCCTTCTATGTCAACGCCCCGGCTGAGCAATAGATTGACCACTCCAATATGCCCATTCCGTGCCGCCCACACCAGCGGTGTTCGGCCAAAGCCTATGTCTTTTGCCTCCATGTCAGCCCCTTGGTCAAGTAGCTCCCTGACAGCTGCCTCGTTTCCATTCCGTGCTACCCGTATCAGTAGTGTCATACCAGCGCTGACTTGTTGGAAATTAACTCCTTTCTGTTCTTCGGCAGACGATGAGGTTTGAGCAAAGCTTCTATCTCTTGCCTCCATGTCAGCCCCTTTGTCGACCAGTAGCTTGACAATCGCGCTTTGTCCATTTTCTGCAGCCCATGTAACCGGTGTTCTGCCAGTACTGCTCTTTGCTTCCTTATCAGCCCCCCGTTCAAGTAGAAGTTTGACCACTGCCTCGTGTTCATTTCCGGCTGCCGTGAACAACGGTGTTTGACCAGCCGACAATCTTGTGCTTGCCGATAGACCCAAGTGTTTATGTATTGGGGTCATCGGACGGCTTAGGGAGATCAGGATGTATCTCGTCTAGCATAGCCATCGCAGCAGTCTGCTCTTTCGGCAACGCACAGATCCATCGGACAGTGTAGTCATTACACGTCACCTTGGTCGAGCAACGCTGAGGGTCCTCCGTTTCATTGTTCATCCCGCGAGACGCGGACATCTCAGTGGATCCTCCGTCGTCCTCGATCGTTCCAGCTCTCTCGGACATGTTATTATCGCGCTGAACTGTGCAGGTATGAGCAAGATAGTACGCGGTGTGCTGAGGGAAATCGATGGATGATCAGAATGGAGAGGGACTCGTGGATTTGGCCTTGGAAAAATGGTTAAACTAGATCATTGAATGCAATAGCACCAGTATGTGGTAGTCCAAACTCTGGGGGAAATAATAAAATCCCCAGGTCGTGCTAAGCGCCTAATACAGCTTTGCCATGTTAGGCGCTTGGCACGACTATCAAACTAGATCATATGCCTTCAGGTACAGCATCCTTTGCCGCACAACCTCACCGAGCTTCTTATGCATTGATCTAACCCTATTACTTTTTCTAGAAGGGAAGAGGACCCCATTCAAGGCGTTTTGACGAAGACTTAGGACTCTGTAGATGTAGGCCTCGCCAAAGCGGGGGTCGGGTTTCGAATCTTTCGATAGACCCAAAACCCAGTCAAGTTAAATAACGGTACTATATACAGTATTACCTGACTCGGAGTTTATACGAGTAGTATCTCGTACTTTTGTAATTCCATAATATATTGGGTCATGGGATCTAAAAAAAGCATGGAGAGGTCTAAGTACTCCGTTCATGGGGGATAGGAAGGTTCGAACGAAAGATAATGAAGGCCGACCCGTAGTGCCAGCTAGCGGGTACAGTTTACATTAGGTGATTGAGACATCTGATATGAACATTGAATATATACTTCATGCCTCCTGTCACCTTAAAAGTGGCTCGGTCACGCCTCCCAGCTGTGCGAACTCGATATAACCATATATCAACATACATCAACTCTACCACCTACTATATGCTATTACTCTTCTCGCTCTTCTCGCTCTTTTCTCACTTTTCTTTCTCACTTCTCTCACACCTCTCGATTCTGAAGGATAACTTCCTCCGATTCGACCACTGGAGTTATCCTTTTGGAAAGATAACTCAACCCGAAGATATTTCGGGGCCTTGCCGGTTCTCGCGATGGGGCTTTGTCAATCAGCTTGGTGAGACATGGCCGACCCTCCGAATGTACTTTGAAGCTCCCGGCTTCTACGCCCGCGCTGGAGAAATTCGGCATGTGAAGCGCCTTGCAGTAACCCCGTTAGAGACCATGAAGCGAAAGCTCCTCAAGCCCGAGCCTGTCCATTTCAAGGCGACTTAGGGCCCAGCCGGACACCTGCGATTCCCCAAGACCTCGGAAGCTAGCTCTTGACGAACCCCGATCTGTTTACAGCTCTTCCTCAATTCCAGACTCAGCCTTTGACAACTCAACCGTCCTCCACCATAGCTACGCAGCACCCACAGCTCCCCTCAGAGCGGGTCGTATGCTGGTGGATGTTTTCCGCCACCTTCTGGGGGTGGCTTAACAGGAGATGGGGGAGTTTGGCCCATCGGGGATTTAATCAAGAGGCCTTCGTCGAAATGAGACCATTGAGCAGGTCCCATCCCTACCCGCTTTCTTAGCAAGACATGCTAAACTCCCTGAATGCCGACATGATTGAGAGTTTTGTTACTCGCTACACGGCCAGTGATCAACCAGACAAGGAGTCCGATCATGGAGAGTCTCGATAAGCTAGAAAGCGAAAGTGGCATGATGAACTTCCTTGTAAGAGGATCGACACTTGATGAATGGGCAGGCCTCGACGGTGATAAGGCCGATAGAAACCACGCCGTGCACGGCGGCTATGTCCAACTGGGAAGAGCGAACAAACCCACAGCACGCAGGCATGTGGAAGTCCGTTTTTTTCCGCCACTATCAAATCCGATACAGCTTCTGCCATAACACACTTAACGACTTTAAGGGTGTCTCAGAAGATGTTATTGCTTTCATCAACGAGAGGGTAAATATCTATATCCCAATACGTATATGGGGAAGAGTCCCAAAGAGCCAGTGGCAGGAGCTCCTAGCCTGTTACGATGAATCTATTCTCACATTCAAAGCAAACGGCACAGAGCTGAGGTCATCAGGTTGTCAGGTTGTCAGGTGGGTTTTGCTTACTAGTAGCTCCCGGTAGGCTATTACTAGGAGCGATTAGTGGTTACTAGTAGGATGTCTATTACTACGCACTATGATTACATTATCTACTTCTATTATCCTGCTTATATATAGATCATATTAATATATGTATAGGGGTTTGACCCAGTGAATATAAAAATGATTTGCATTTAGAAATACGCAATGTAATGGGTATTGTTGTCGTAATTTGAGTCATGATTTCGTAGAACAAATGGAACATTTAGGATTGATTCTTTGCGTCAGGGTGTTTTTCTCGCCTGGTAGCCTCAGAACGTTCATCGTGACGATGACGGTGACTGCGATGAGAGGAGTGGTGACGAGAGCGATGATGAGCGCGATCTCGACTCCGATCTCGATGGCGACGATGATGCCTGTCAGAACTTCTTCGGTCCTTCTCACGTTCTCTGTCCGGCGCATCCAGTTTAAACCCATCGAGGCTGTCCGCTGATGGGGATCGCCTTCGCCGATTGCTTGGTTGCCGTGCCTCCTCAGCTTTCAAATTTTCAATCTCTCGTCGCTTTTCATCATTCCACCGCTTTCGTTCCTGTTCTGTTGTTTTCAACTGGCGCACCCCCCGCTTGATGGCTGCAAGTGGGTCATTCGCACTCATACGAGCCTGTGTCCTCTCTTTGCGCCTTGGGTCCTCGTTACCCCACGCGTCTTTCTCGGGCATCGACCCTGGGGCTGTCGCATTTTGCTCTGCAGAGGAATACCACGGTTTCCGACCAATGGTCTCCTTGAAGCCTGCCGCGTTCGAGAACCTCATTGTGTATTGATCTTCATAGCTGCGTTTCTTCCGTGCCACTTCAGCCTCCGCTTCGGGATTTTTCTCTGTTTTAGCACTTGCGACTGGGAACAGGTTGATATGGCCGGCCTTGTCTATGATCGGTGCTTGTGCTGTATCAGCCTTGCGAGAGGCTAGCATCAACTCTTCCCGCTTAGCAACTGCCTGTGCCGCATCCTCCCGAGCGTATCGTATATCTCGATCCGTATCATCTTCCCCGGCAACCCGCCTTCTCTTACGAAATCCTCCGGCGTCGCTAGCGGACTTTCTGTCTGACTGAGCCCCGGGTTCAGACAGGGAGGACGCCGGTGGAGGGGTAGGCGGACGTTCGCCTCGAAGAATTTTAATCCTGCGTTCGGCATCGACCTCTTGCATGACACGTTCATCTTCTTCCTCGCGGGCTTTTGCTTGCGCCTCGTCGCGCCTGACACGGGCGACATTATCGACGTTGTAGACGTTCCATGACTTCTTGCCAAGGAGATGGCTATGAAAGAATTAGCTGGTTTCACAGTTATTATAAATTTGAAAGAAAAAACTCCACTTACAGAGGCATCTTGGAAACTGGTTGACCCTTGCGTGGAAGTTGAGGCTCGATAGGAAAGAGCTGGTCTTATCGATAATGACGTCCCCACCGCCCGACGTTGTTCCCGGGGGTGGCCAAATGCCCCGTCGACAGCTTTACGGCTCCAACTCTCTTCTGTTCCCTCATATTTGTTGCTTTGGACATTACCATATCCAGTAAACCCTTGAATATAATCCTTTGAGAATTGACATCAGATCACCTGCGCTGCAGAGCCGACTGACTTGCACAGTTGCCTGTTCCTTTCCCGACACAGTGTCGCTAAGACAATAGCTTCAACGGTTCTCAACTCAACCTCCGTGATTAGCGACGACCAAAGGGTTCATCATGTTCAATCGCAGCAATCTCCCTGCGAATCCGTTCAGTTCCAGCGGACAACCGTCCCCGCAGGGTTACTCGAACCCCAACCAAGCACCCCCACGGTATGATACCGATCGTTCCCCCTCGTCCAGTGCAGGCTATGCAGCTCCTATTCACGATGACGATGTGCCGATGACTGATGTATATGATGATTTAAGGGGTTACGGAGGCCCACCTCCACCAGGAGGCAGACCGCCGCCGCAGCAACAGATGCCTTCTAGGATGCAGTCCGGACAAAGAGGTGGAGGCCAGACTTGGACTCTTCATCCAAGCAAGAGTCCCAACGAAAACTACACATTTGGAAACCTGTGAGTTTTTCTGACTGCCTTTTGTTTTCGGTGGCTAATACACAGCAGTGTCGCTGTTTCGCCGCAGGACATCCCACCCTCACGAGATGGCACCGACGTCCTCCTCCTTATCAATGACCTCTTTGTCTTCTCTGCTCGCCCTCTCGATGGCTTCCCTGCTGGCTATATGAGCATGTCGGACCCCCAGCGAACATGGGCCAACATTGGATTGAGAGATGCGATCAAGGTCCAGCTGTACGATCCGTTTAGCCAAGGCGGGCAGGCCTACCTAGGCTCTGCGGATATCGAAGTCAGCTTTGCGTCTACCAAGAAGCGTGTTGAAACTCCTTATGACCAAGATGAACTGGCACAGGCAGTGATCAGGGTAAGTCAACTTCGTCCCAGTCATGAATATATGCTAACAGGCCCCAGAACTTTGAAAACCAGCTATTCTCGCCTGGCCAGAGGATTTTGATGGATAATAAGAGCATCCCACTCTTACTACAGGTCAAGACCGTCCAGCGGGTTGACTTGACATCAGAGAAGCCCGATCTCAGTTCTGGAGAAGTCGAGACCGATCCTGCGGCCAGGGGTATCCTCACACGGCACACTCAACTCAACTTTTTCAAGGATACCCAGACTGGTATCAACGTGAAGCCATCTAACCGTCGCCCGGCGGCCAACTCTATCATCCAACCTGGCTTCAAGTTCCAGGACATGGGTATCGGTGGTTTAGACGCGGAGTTCAGTACGATCTTCCGTCGTGCTTTCGCCTCTCGCATTTTCCCCCCTGGTCTGGTTGAGAAACTTGGTATTCAGCACGTCAAGGGTCTCTTGCTTTATGGGCCTCCGGGAACGGGTAAAACCCTCATTGCTCGGCAAATCGGAAAAATGCTCAATGCTAGAGAGCCCAAGATTATCAACGGTCCAGAAGTTCTGAACAAGTACGTAGGCCAGTCGGAAGAAAATATCCGAAAGATGTTTGCGGATGCCGAGAAGGAATATAAAGAAAAGGGGGATGAGAGTGGTCTCCATATCATCATCTTCGATGAGCTGGACGCAGTGTGCAAGCAGCGTGGTAGCTCAGGCGGTGGTACCGGTGTCGGTGATAGCGTGGTCAACCAGCTCCTCTCGAAACTCGATGGTGTCGACCAACTGAACAACATCTTGTTGATCGGTATGACCAACCGAATGGATATGATTGATGAGGCTTTGCTGCGTCCCGGTCGTTTGGAAGTTCACATGGAAATCTCGCTCCCTGACGAGCATGGTCGAAGCCAGATTCTCAACATTCACACGGAGAAGATGCGAAACAATAATGTCATGGATACGGATGTTGACTTGGCCGAGCTTGCTCATTTGACCAAGAACTTTTCTGGTGCTGAGATCGCAGGTTTAGTCAAATCTGCCTCGTCCTTTGCTTTCTCCCGCCATGTCAAAGTCGGTACTATGGCTAGTATCAATGACGACGTGGTAGACATGAAGGTCAACCGGGCTGATTTCCTTCAATCTCTTGATGAAGTCAAGCCTGCCTTTGGTGTGTCCGAGGAAGAGCTGGCCAGCCGTATTCCGTACGGTATCATCCACTACTCCCCAACCATCAGCGAAATCCTGCGGGAAGGCGAGTTATTCGTCAAGCAGGTTGGAGTGGCTGAGTCAACCCCACTTTTCTCTGTGCTACTCCACGGTCCTCCTAGCAGCGGCAAAACCGCCCTGGCAGCACGTATTGCTATTGACTCCGGCTTCCCCTTCATTAAGTTGATCAGCCCTGAAGACATGGTTGGCTTTAGCGAGCCTGCAAAGGTCGCACACATTAGCCGAATCTTTGACAGCGCCTACAAGAGTGCCACAAGTATCGTTGTCATCGATAACATTGAGCGAATCATCGACTGGGTGCCAATTGGTCCTCGCTTCAGCAACAGTGTGCTGCAAGCTCTTATGGTCTTCCTGCGGAAGCAGCCAACTCATGGACGTCGTCTGTTGGTTCTGGCAACGACAACCGAGCGTGCCTTGATGAAGCAGCTGGACATTTACAACTCCTTCAACTCGGACATCATGGTTCCCAACGTTAGTTCATTCGGTGAACTCCGGTTTGTCATGGAGAATTCGGGTGTCTTTGATGCGCAGGAGATCG